GGATATGGATATAATAATCTTAAGATGCTTGATAAAAAGAGTATAGAGAAAGAATAATGTTTAGATTGGCAGTATTAACATGGAGTGGTATTTTCTGTGATTATCTATTCACTTTAATTTAAAACAATAAGCTATTTGCCTATCTCTCTCTCTCTGCCTTTTCCTCCCTCTTTCCCATAGTATTGATTGTCTACGATGCGTTGTGCACTGTGCTGGGCACTAGGGATCCAGCAATGAACAAGATGGATGAGCCCTGTCCTCATGAAATATACAGAATAAACTTGTTTTTTAATTAAACAAAATATTTTAATGAGTTCTCTTTTTTTCCCATTTACCATAAGCTTGTGCTATGCAAGCATTTATCTCCCAGAGTCTGAGAGACATTCTCTGACAAGAAGTTTCCTTTTCTTCCTGTCATTAATACTTTTTATTTTACTATATTGTAATAAATACTCTGTAGGAGTATAATTTCAGGAATTGATTAAATTACCCATCATCGAAATTTAGGAAATACTGATTGCAATCCCCTTTGCCTGGGAGATTTTTATTGTGCTGAGCTTATAAGAAGTGTCTCTTGGAAAAAATTGTATTATATTATTTGAAAGTTCTAAGAGCAAGGAAAAAGATGCTTTTCTAAAACTGTCTTATTTCTTACATCCAGACATTTCTGTTAATGATGTGAAGTTTATCTCAACTCAAAATAAAACGTGCAGCTGGAGATTGGACTTCCCTTTTCTCCTGTTTCTTGCTATCCTTGTTTTCCTTCTGATTTAGTCACCAATGTTCAACCAATGTCTTCATCTCACTCTTTCCTCTATTCCTTTGTAATAAAATAGAGGAATAGAGAAAGAGGAACACAATGCAAGATTGAGGAACACCAGTTGAGACTGATATCAGATGAAAGCATTTTTCTAAGGAAGGAGATAGTAGATTATCAATGTCTCGATTTGTCTAAGATTCAAGCTCAGGAGAGCCTATGCTCTTGATGATCCTCAATTCATTTCACTGTCACCCTGGTGTAGTTAGTGCCTCCTCCTTTTTTGCTAAACTGATCCATTTTTGTGCTAAATGATCATAAATGATCTTATTTAGAACAGAAGTATCTGTTCTAAAATTGGAATGGAATATTAGGCATATCAGGCATTAGCTGTAGGAAATATTTCAAAATTGAAACAGTTAAAATGGAAATATCAGGCATATCAGGCATTAGCTGTAAGAAATATTGGTAAAATGGTATATCAGGCACATGGTAAAAATAGAATGTCAGGCGTATCAGGCATTAGCTGTAGGAAATATTTTCTTGCTTGCTTGCTCTTCCCCTCCTTCTCCTCTTCTTCCTCCTCCTCCTCCTTCCCCTCCTTCTCCTCTTCTTCCTCCTCCTCCTCCTTCTTCTTCCTTCTTCCTTCTTTTTCTTCTTTCTTCCCTCCTCCTCCTCCTCCTTTTTGAGACTGAGTCTTGCCCTGTTGCCCAGGCTAGAGTGCAGTGGCACGATCTCAGCTCCCTACACCCTCCATCTCCTGGCTTTGAGCGATTCTCCTGCCTCAGCCTCCAGAGTAGCTGGAATTAGAGGTGCCTGCCACCATACCCAGCTAGTTTTTGTATTTTTAGTAAAGACGGGGTTTTCACCATGTTGGCCAGGTTAGTCTCAAACTCCTGACCTCAGGTAATCTGCCCGCCTCAGCCTCCCAAAGTGCTGGGATTACAGGTGTGAGCCACTGCGCCCAGCCTTGAGGAGTTCTGTTTCTAAGGAAGGAAGACTAGATGTTGGAGCATAAGTAATAGTTTCTGCCATACCCATCTAAACTGTTGAATATCCAAGATCCCTCTATATTTTCTGGTTCTGACTAGGTCTCTGTAACTGGTCCCTTCTCTCATCCACCTTGTCATCCTTCCCCACACACCTTGTATTATGTACCCTCAACCATATTAAATTACTAGAATTCACTAGACTCTCTGTGGTGTGTTCATGGTTTATGTTCTTTGCAAGGGTTTTCTTTCAGCCTGTCATGCCTTTTCCTTTCCTTTCACTGACTGGCAAGTTCCTAATCATTTTCCAAGACTTAACTGAAATATCATCTATGAGAAACTCTTTTGAACGCTCTCCCACACATCTAGGTTGATTAGTTGCTCCTTGTCTGTGCTCAGCCAACACTTTATGCTTCAGTTAGCACACTGTAGTGTCATATTTACGTATTTTCTTATCTGTCTTATCTAGACTTGAGCTTCTTGAATGTAGAGACTGAGGATTATTCTAATTATTATTATTATTATAATATTTGGTCATTGTTTTAGCCTGCTTAGAACAGATCCAGCACAATGCCTGTAACCCAGTAGGTGTCAGGTAAATGTAAGTTGGTTAAATTGCAATTTGAGTTTATACTAAGTTGGAAGAGTAATCCAAATGAGGAGAAAGCTCCACAAGTACTTGACTATTCCTGTTGGTGACTTGCCATTCTTGTATGTTGTCTTGATAGTGCTTACCTTGAGTCAGTGAAGAATGAGCTTTGGAGATTATTTTTCTCATTTCTAGTGCTAGAGATATGCTAATTGGTTAAAGTGTACTTGTGAGGGAGCCAGTGAGAGGAGGAGTATAGGCAGTGACCAGAGAACAGGCCAATGGGTGTTATCATGTGTGCTGAATGGCTGCAGACAGAGAGGAAACATCTATTAATTTGTGACTTCTTACATTGCCTGGAAAATTTGTAAGCATGGTCTCTGAAAGAGGCCAAAGAAGAAATGGAAAGGAAATGGCCTTTTGTAGGATAATAACCAATTAGACACTCGTCGAGGTGATGAGGGACTTCTTTTATTTATATATATATATATGATAGAGTTTTTATAACTTGAAATACCCACATATTCTAATAATGAGTATGCACTTGGCAAGCAATGATTACTGGACTAAAAGCAAAAAGGGTAAAAGAAAGGGATATAAGAGGAAGTAGGTCAAAAGCTAGGGAATGTTGTATAATGGGAGAAACCTGGTGCTTTATCTTTGTGTGGAGGATGGAAGGAGGGAACTTGGAACTTTTTGATAGATGTGTGAGGGTACTATACCCTAATTTGTTGTAGAGTTGCCCCCATGAACTCAGCTTGCCCAAAACAGTACGTGGTGGTCTTCCCTCCCCCACTTCTGTATTCTCTCTGTTAATAGCATCATTATCCCACCTGCCAATCAGGCTCAAAGTCTGTCCTTTTTCATTGCTCCTTGAACCACATGGTTCCACGCATAGGAATAATTGTCCTGTCCCCACTCTCTCTGCCTCTTTCCATTTTCATGATCACTGCCCTACTTAAGAGCCCTTTGGTCTCTCCCTTAGACTCCTGCAGTCGCTTGTATCTTGCTCTCCCTGCCTTGTGTTTCTTTCTTCTGTTAATTTTATCCCATGCACTGCTGATCGGATAATTTTCCTAAGCACAGTACTGGTCATGATCAACCCCCCCGGTGGAACACGTTTAGTAGCTCGTCAGTTTTCTATAGAATACATTCCAGATTCCTTAGGATGACATTTGAGGCCTCATCTTCCCTTTTAATCTATTGTTTCCCTCTTCCTGCATGCTGCTGCATTCTAATAAATATTGTTGTTCCCCCTAACAATTGTGTGTTTTTCTGTGTCCATGATTTTGCTCTCACTCTTCTCTTTGCCAGGTTTGCCTTTTCTATTGACATTTCCCCTTGTCAAAATTTCTGCACGGGCTTTAAAACTTAGCTTCAAAGCTATTCTCATTTCTTTTCAAATTCCCTCTCTAACCAGTTGAATTAAAATTTTACTCATTTGTGCCTTTATAATAGCAGTCATTATATTATGCCTTTTGTTTAAGATGTGTCTGTCTTTTCTTTCTTGTTCCTAATTTTCTTAAAGACACTTATAGCCTCTTACACATAGTGAGTACTTAGGAAATGAGAGCTGAGTTAAAGCCAGAGGAATGGCTATGATTTGATAACCGTGTGTGTCGTAAAAAGCCTGTTATACAAAACTATGTCTTCAAGGAACTGCTTGATACAAGGCCGAAGCCATTCACTTCATTGGTCTGTGTGATAGCTAACTTCTCTGGGCTACCTTGACTCTCAGTTGTCTTACTCTCAAACCTCAAAGCAGCTTTCTTCTTCCGTTGTTGATGGACAGATTTTCAGTAGGGCTATTTAAATTTAACTGTACAAGACCAGCCTGGCCAACATGGTGCAACTTTGTCTCTATTAAAAATACAAAAATTAACCAGGCGTGGTGGCACACGCCTGTAGTCCCCGCTACTTGGGAGGCTGAGGCAGGAGAATCACTTGAACCCAAGAGGTGGAGGTTGCAGTGAGCCAAGATCATGCCATTGCACACAAACTTGGGCAACAGAGTGAGATTCCATCTCAACAACAACAACAAAAAATTAGTTGTAGAAGGGTTCTCTAAGAATTCCTGAGGGAAACATGATTAATATTTCTTTGAAATACTACAATTTACATCTCTACCTCTTTATCAATTCAGTTCTCATCCAAAGTATGATAGAAGTAGGCCAGAAATCACTGAAATGTTTTCAGAGTATGCAAGTAGTTGTGCTTCTTCTAAATGGCGTTGAATTCAACTGTTGCACAGTCAATAAAAGAATCTTTTTATGAGTCTTCAGTAATGAGGCTATCCCCTCTTCTAATTGTATATATTTTTGCATCAAACCACATGGTGTATTGAATAAATGGTCTCCTTTGCTCCTCAGGTTATGGTGGAGAATTCAGACTTTACCCCCTCACAAGTAGGATGTCTCTTTACCTTCCTTGCTCGGCAGCTTGCAAAGCCTGACAACACCTTGTTTGTAAACAGAACACTTTTTGATCAGGTAAGTGTCTAGCAGTGAAAACTAAAAGGTTTTTTCCTGTTTACTGTGCACAGTTCCCTGGATTACACTGTTTCCTGATGTGACAGACTATTGGGTAAATACCTTATCAAGGAGAGGCCTGTTCAGGTTTTGGATCTAAATTGAGGGATATGTGTATGTGGGTGTATGGGTATGTTTTGTGGAGATTGGTTTATAGAGATTGTGTTCTCTCAATTATTCTGTTGCTATGAATTGCCTAGAATTCTTTGCTCAAGAGTTTGCCAATTTAAGAATCTCCCCCATCTCACAGGTAGTAAGAGTATTATGACCATCATCTGGAGAAGAGATTACTTTTGTAAAATCTCAATTTACTTACAAATTACTTTGAAGGTATCTTGTAATCCCGCTTAAATATCTCCTATTTTTCCACAGGTGGCAAAGAAAATACTTTTTGTCTGGAGAAAGTAACTAAAAATGACTAGCATTTTCTGAGCACTTCACAATGGCAGACATTGTTCCAAAACCTTATGTGTGTCTGTTACCTTAGTCCTCTCAAGAGCTCTAAAATAGGGACAGTTATACTCCTTTTATAGATGAGGAAACTAAAGCCTGGAGAGATTAAGTAATTCATGTAAGGTCATACTTAGTAAGTGTTATTATTAGCAGTAAATATTAAGTCTTAATAGAGTTAGTGTCCAAATTCAAGTGGCCTGACTCCTAAGTTCATGCTTTGCTAGGTCCATGGTATCGTATCAGGAAACTTAAAATTAAGGTATATAGACAACACTGCCTTATAGTTATGTTTCTTTTCTCTCTCTCTTTTTTTGAGACAGAGTCTGGCTCTGTCGCCCAGGCAGGAGGGCAGCAGCATGATCTTGGCTCACTGCAACCTCTGCCTCTCAGGTTCAAGTAATTCTCCTGCCTCAGCCTCCTAAGTAGCTGGGATTACAGGCGCATACCACCACGCCTGGCTAATTTCTTGTATTTTTTGTAGAGACGGGGTTTCACCATGCTGTCCAGGCTGGTCTTGAACTCCTGAACTCAAAGTGATTCACCCTCCTCAGCCTTCCAAAGTGCTGGGATTACAGGCATGAGCCACTGCACCCAGCCTCTTAGAGTTATGTTTCGAAAGAGTAAAGAAATACATACACAAGGGCTGCCTCAACCTCCCAAAGTACTGGGATTACAGGCATGAGCCACTGCACCCGGCCTCTTAGAGTTATGTTTCTCAAGAGTAAAGAAATATGTATGTAAGGCACATATTAAATTGTTAGCATACCTGAACCTGATGTTACATATACTAGGCTAATCAGTTGGGAAGGTACCTTATACCTGTGGTATTTGTTATGGCTGGGTGTGAATAAGTTGGTTATTTGAAAGGGTAGTTATTACTTTTATTATGAGAGTATTAATGTCTACATGCTGATATCAAATAAAAAATACTTTTTCTTTGGCCAGGTCCTTGAATTCCTTTGTAGTCCCGACGATGACTCCCGACACTCTGAAAGACAGCAGGTATGAACTACTAGAACTCTTTTTGCTAAAAAATAGGAAAGAAGAATAAGCCAGAAAGAATTCTTCTGTATTAGACCTCACTACACATGAGGGGCAATGACTTGTGCCAAACCCTAATACGAAGTTAGAGTCAGTGGGAACCAGAAAATAGAGTGGATGGTTGTTAGGGTACATGTATAAGAAGCTTATATCAAACTAAATTCCTAGGTAGACTGGATCTGTCTTGCATCTACCATGACATCAAAGAAACGACTTCATCTTCCCCTATTATGTGGCAACAGCTAGGACTTCTTGTATGCTGTATTTCATTGGCATAATTAATCTGGTAACTACTGCTAGCTGCTGTGGTCCTGAAACAAAAAAGCTACAGGGTCCTGAGTGTTGACATACCTAACTTTTGAGAGTGCCCTAAAACCCCACTGCATTAGGGCTGACCATTCTGGAGACTAGAATCCACCTGTCCCTCCACTGATTATTATGAGACAGTAACTGTTTGAGTACCACTTCTTTTTATTCATGCCACTTTCTTGAGGTTGCCTTCAGGAGTAAGATTCTTTAAAAAGCATACCCACCATAATTGTGGGCACTAAGAGAGTCAACCCATTTTGTATTGATAGCTAGATTTTGTCAGGCAAGTAAACTAGTAAAATTAAGAACCATGAGAGCTGTGCGGAAGTATGGCTTTATGGCACTGTGGTAATCATACACAGCTGGGAAGTTGAGACTATCAGATAGCAACAGTGACCCTTTATCTGCACAGCTATGGCGCAGTGACTGCTGCAGAGTATCCTAGGTCAGAGAACAGCTGGTAAAATTTTGGTTATCTCTTAAATTATATTGAATACAAATAGTAATATGGGCCCCCTCATTTCAGCTGCATAGTGTGGTAAAAATTATTTATATGAGCCCCAATATTTTTGTTTCCTTTTTATTGTGGTAAGATAGACATAACACATAATTTACCATTTTAACCGTTTTTAGGTGTATGCATCAGTGGTATTCACATTATTGTATAATCCTCATCACCATCCATCCCCAGAACTCTTTTATCTTCCCAAACTGAACTACCATACCAATGAAATCGTAACTCCTGCTCACTATTTCTCCTCCCCACCCCTTAGTAACTACCAGTCCCTATGAATTTTACTACCTTAGGTCCCTCACATAAGTGCAGTCGTACAGTATTCATTCTTTTGTATTTAGCTTATTTCACTTGGCATAATGTGTTCAAGGTTCATCCATGCCATAGCATGCATGTATCAAATTTTCTTCCTGCTGAATAGTATTCCGTTGTATGTATATACTACATTTTGTTTATTCATTCATCCACTGATGGACATTTGGATTGTTCCACCCTTTGGCTATTTTGAATAGTGCTGCTATGAAAAGTCATAATTTTTTAAAAATTAACATATAAACATGGATACCAGCTGTGGGCAAACAGATTGTAAAGAACCATAAGACATAAAAGTGAGACAAAACTTCACTTCTTGAAAGAATATATACGGACATTTTAGCTTAGCAGAGAGTCAGCTCAGTGTCTCATAGGGCTTCATTCGTAAACTCTGTGGCGTTCTTTCCATGTTTGAAAAGCGGAGCCATTTATCTTTTTATAGGGCTTAAATGCAGTATGATCAAGTTTGTGATGTCAGTCTAACCCCTTCCATATGTGACAGCAAGCCAAAATATCATCAACTAAGAATACAAAAGAAAAAAATTAGAAGTTATAGTCTACATGGCTGAATGCACTCTTAAAGAGCTAGTAAATTCTCAAGTGTTTTTACTCATTTGTTTTTAAATGTTCAGGTCCTTTTAGAATTGCTGCAGGCTGGAGGCATAGTTCAATTTGAAGAGAGTCGCCTCATCCGGATGGCAGAAAAAGCTGAGTTGTAAGTTGTTTTGAGGCATATATTAGTTTGCCATAGAAATAGTAAATTACATTTCTCTAACTTAAAGCCCAGTTTATTGATGCATTGCTGCTTTTTTAATTAGGAAAGATTATACAAATAACAAAAAGCTAAGTGTGAAGTTTTTGCCTTTTAATTGAATTCTAGAAATTAGTGAAATTTGCAGAAATTGATAGGGCAAATATGAAGCTTTTTTTTTTTTTTTTTTTTTTTTTTTTGAGACAGAGTCTCGCTTAGTCGCCCAGGCTGGAGTGCAATGGCGCGATCTCGGCTCACTGCAAGCTCCGCCTCCCGGGTTCACGCCATTCTCCTGCCTCAGCCTCCCGAGTAGCTGGGACTACAGGCGCCCGCCGCCTCGCCCGGCTAATTTTTTGCATTTTTAGTAGAGACGGGGTTTCACCGTGTTAGCCAGGATGGTCTCGATCTCCTGACCTCGTGATCCGCCCGCCTCGGCCTCCCAAAGTGCTGGGATTACAGGCGTGAGCCACCGCGCCCGGCCGAAGCTTTTATATAATTGTTTAAACATAAAAGTGAAATAGCAGTCTTATGATGTTTTATTTTAGATTTTTCCTTTAATATTTCCATGTTTCATAAATTTTTATGGTTACCTTAGCTATATGAGAGACAATGTAGTATTTGACATAGCAAATAAGAGAATATCACATTACTACTTATCTAGTATGCTGTATTTATATGACGTAATTCTGAATAGGAACTTTATGTAAAATTTTTGTAAATTATCAATATCTAACATAGTCACTATTTCTTATGTGATACATTATTGCTTTAGTATTTCTTTTGTATTCAGCATTGAAATTTCTTATAAACATAATATGTAGCAGCCTCTTGAACCTGTAGTTAAAGGAATGGCAGATACTCATCTCCCTTAGATATTCACTGTAACTTTATTTAACAGTAGAAATCACATCTACTATATTAATTTTTCTTTTTTTTCTTTTGAGACAAGGTCTCCCTCTGTTGACCAGGCTGGAGTGCAGTGGTGTGATCATAGCTCACTGCAGCCTTAACCTCCTCGTCTCAAGCAATCCTCCTGCGTCAGCTTCCATAGTAGCTCGGATGACAGATACATGCCACCATGCCTGGCTAACTTGTAGTTTTTTTTGTAGAGACGGGGTCTTGCTATGTTGCCTAGGCTGATCTCAGACTCCTGGTCTCAAGCAATCCTCTTGCCTCAGCCTCCCAAAGTGCCTGGCATGAGCCAGGACACCTGGCCCACTTTCCCTAATACTAACCTGTGTGCCAGAGCAAATGTCTCAAAAACCTGCCTGTTTGGTACGCTGAAGTTTTTCCCTTTACATTCTAGCTATCAAATTTGTGAATTTATGTATGAAAGAGAACACCAATATGACAAAATTATTGATTGCTACTTACGTGACCCTCTGAGAGAGGTGAGTCAAGACACTGCTTTACCCTTTTTTCTTACTCAGCCTTCCCTCTTATTGAGTACAAATAACTGTTGAGTAGAAATATTTGTGCATGTGCATGAGCCAAATATACATTGATAATTAAAACAGATACAGTTCTTGCAGTTTTGGAATGTATGATTTAGTGATGGAGACTGACAATTAACAAAGCCAAATATGATTACAAATGGTGATAAATGCTAGGGAAGAGAAACCGAGTGCAACTTTAGAGGATAATGGGGAACTGACTTATGCAGAGTAGCCAGGGGAGGAATTTCAGAGAAAGTGACATATAAACTGAGTTTTGGAATTTGAGAAGCCCGTGAAGGAAAGAGTCAAGAAGAGTGTTTCAGGATGGGAAACTGTATATGCAAAAGACCTGAGGTGGGGAAAATGGACATGTTCAAGGAGCTGAGTAGAGATCATATAGATGACGTGAAAATCAGTATAGGTGGAGCATAATAGACAAGGGCAGGAGTGGTTTGAGCTGAAATTGGGAATGTGGACAATGGGATCCCCAAAAGCCAAAGTGTGATACTCCTTCATTATGTCACTGAAGATTAATGAATTGAAACCAAAATTAATTAGAACAGATATTTTGCTTCTAAGAGTCTACCCTAAATTTTAAACAATTACCCTTTCTTTTTAGGGGCAGAGTTTTCCATCAGTTAACAATCTCCAGATGGTTTTTCATCTTCAAATGATAGATGTTTACCAAGACTGGTTCAGTTAGTAGGGACTAAATCTTGAGTGAGTGAATGAATAAATTATATTGTCTTGTGCTCTTCAGGAAGAAGTCTTTAATTACATTCACAATATCTTATCCATTCCCGGACACAGTGCAGAGGAGAAGCAGTCTGTATGGCAGAAAGCAATGGATCATATTGAGGTACCGATGTGCAAAACTTCACACTTTACCATCTGAATGGTCATCTAACCCAAGTTAACTTTATGCCAACTAAACAATGGCATGTATCACATTAAGTTGGTTTAATTTAGGGTTAAAATGTTTTTCATGTGTAATTATTCTACCTCATATTTGTATTCATAAAGTCTGTGTCACATGCAATCTATTACATCCTGACTTCTGAAACTAGCCCATGTTCAATCAGCTAGTGACAAACTAGTATTAGTGCATTTTTACAAAGTTCCTAGAATGATTCTGAGAGTACTACTTGTCCTTTTTTCCTAGTATGTGATGGGTGCCATACCCTCCAATCATCTAATGGACTTTTAGAAAAATTACTGCAATGATGTATTTCTCTTCCTTATATAACAGGATGATGATTCTGACCTAGCTGTGGTCAACTAATTCACTGATTTTGTTGATGCCTGCAGTTTTACAGAGGATGCAAGTGTTCACTTCTATTGAAACAAAAAGTTCTTATTCAGAAACAACGCTTCTGGATATACAAATAGACTACCTGTGTGATGAGGGCTGTGATCACAATGTGTTCTGAAATGGGACCCAAAAATCACTTCTTACTTGAGTTTCCTTATGTTCATAACATACTCCTTACCCCAGAATCCAATAGAACTAGCAGTTTTGTTGAAATCTATTATTTTTATGATTTATGTTATTTTATCTATTCTATTATGTTTATTTCTGATTATTGAAAAAATAGTAAGAAAAGAGGTAATCCTCTTTTGGAAATAATATTTAGACTGAGGTAGTCCTAGTTTTGGAAATAACGTTTAAACCGAGGTAATCCTAGTTTTGGGAGTAACATTTATATCTACAGAGTTGCTCTTGTTCTCCTTATAGCAAGAATCAGGTGGTGGATTTAGAGATGTAGTAGAGATATGATTATTCAACATGTTTGAACATTTTTTTATAGATACGAAAAACTATAAGAAAAGATATGATGTGGATACTTTATTTTAGTTTCTGAAGGTTGTAAAGTTTAGAAAGATCAGAGGTGTGAATAGCATCTTCTTGTGAAATATCTGACATGAAAGGTGGTATAGCCAGTCATGAGATACGTAGTCTGAAGTAATTTCCACACTGCTGTGTATAGGATTGAGAACATGGAATATATTATTTAATGTTGTTATATTCCTGCTAACAACAGATGAGTATATCATGGCAGGATAACCCAACAGGTCATTCTCTGATTTTGTGTTTTATATTTTTTCCCTTTAATCATTTAGTACTCTTTTTCATCATCCTCTTCAAGTCTCCATGGTTATATTATGGTTCAGTTCTCATTTCACCTCATCTGCATTATACAGTGGTTTGAGCACATGGATTCCAGACCTCAAAAATGAAGCCACATCTCTGCATTATGTGAAATGTGATAAATTAATCAATGGGCAAACAGATTACTCAGCAAAAAGCTCAAGCTGGGGAAGCAAGAAGTATTTCTGCTGTACAGTAATTATTTTTGCTGACTAGTTTTTCCCACATCTGCATATTTTTCACCTTGAACTTTTTAATATCTCTTAAGGCCACAGTGACAGGTGTATAAACTTTTGTTGAAGGACTTCTATGTCTTCAGTAATGTAAATATAATCAACATTAAATACATAGGACAAAAAGTCATAAAGAAGTTTTCTGAGAAGATGCACTTAGTTTATAGCTTAGTGGTTCTTAACACATTTGGGGCTCTACACTGTTTTTGAGACTCTAATGAAAGATTTAGTCTTATGCCTCATAATATTGCACATGTACATAGATATTATGACTCTGTTTAAAGTTTCAGGGATCTACAGATCTCTAAAAGTCTTTCTTAGATGACAAATCTCTAGTTCAGATGGTTTTTTGAATATGAAAGGTTTCATTAGATTGTGATGACATTTTATATTTTGAAATTTATAAAACATTCAAAAAAGTACATAAAACACATGTACAGCTTAATTAAAAATTAAAAAGCAAACATCCTAGGTCCTGAACAAGAAATATTATATTTCCATACCTCAGACATTCCCCATGTATTCTTTTCTGATCACAGTTTTTTTCTTCCGCCCTTCCCCCATGTAGCCATTATCCTGTTTTTTGTGACAGTTTCTTACCTTTTTGTATACTGTTACTGCATGTGCATGCATCCCTAAATATATGTTTTTGTTTTGCCTATTCTTGAACTTTGTGAAAATGAAATCGTACTTTATTTTCTTATTTTTGCCCAGTATTTTGTTTGAGAAGATTGTACATTTTGTTTTATGTAGCTACAGTTGATTTTTATTGTATAGTATTCCATTTTATAAGTATATCACAGTTTATCCATTCTACTGCTGCTAGACATTTCAGTTGTTTCTAGTTTTAACTATTAAGAATAGTCTGTTCATAATCATTCTTATATGTGCATCTTGTGCACAGCCACAGACATTTCTCTAAGGCAGTGATTCTCAGTTTCGTCCCCAAACCAACATCACAGCATCAGCTGAGAATTTGATAGAAATGCAAATGCTCCACTTCAGACTTCCTGAATCAGAAACTCCGGGTGAGGTCCAGCAATCCCCTAAGTTATTTTGATGTATGCTAACTCATAATCTCTGCTCTGGAGTATATAATTGATAGTTGAGATTAATATTTTAAATTTCACTGGATGCCAGCACTGTATGAGAGTTCCTATGGACTCTGTATCCTTAGCAAACTTTAAATCTTTCCCGATCTAGTGGATGTGTAATGATATCTAATTATGTTTTACATTTACCTTTCCTTAATTACTAATAAGATTGGCAGCCTTTTCATATGTTTATTGGGCATTTAAGTGTTCTGTTTTGTGAAGTGCCTGCTGAAGTTTTTTGCCCACTTTTCTGTTTGAATGTCTCATACTTACTGCTTTGGAAGATTTCTTTATGTATTGTGGATGTTAGTCTTTTATCAGCAATATATTTTACAAATATCTTCTCCCGTTCTGTGGCTTTTCCTTTCAATCTTTTTGTGTTTTTTTTTAAGTGGTCAAAATAATAATTTCCCCCCTCCACTTTATGTCCTGCTTTCTTTCTTATTTCTTTTTAAGCTTTGGCTCTTGAGTTCCACCTGAAAGTAATTTTTGTACATAGTATGAGATAGAAGTCAAGTTAATTTTTTAGAATACAGATGCCCAATTTTCCCAGCAGCAGTTATTTTTAAAGGTTGCCTTTTCCTGTTGCTCAGCAATGCTGCCTTTGTGATGAGTATATCAAGGATCTATATGCGTAGTCTATTTCTCTGGTCCGTCTGTTCCATTGGTCTGTTTGTCCATCTCTGCATCAGTACCACACTATTTTTAATATTGTTGCTGTATAATGAGTCTTGATATCTTTAACAGAATCTTATCTATTATTGACTTTTGATACTTTCAAATATATTTTAGAATCAGCTTATTAAGTTCCACCAAATTTTTTTTAACTTTGTGATTATGACAGGCATTGCACTGAATCTATCAATAATTTTGAAGATAACTTGCAATCTTTACAATATTGAGTCTTCATATCTATGTATGGTATAATCCTTTAATATCTTCCTATAAAGTTTTATTTTTATTTATTTATTTTTTTGAGACAGAGTTTTGCTCTTGTTGCCCAGGCTGGAGTGCAATGGCACAATCTCGGCTCACCGCAACCTCCACCTCCCAGGTTCAAGTGGTTCTTCTGCCTTAGCCTTCCCAAGTAGCTGGGATTATAGGCATGCGCCACCAAGCCCGGCTAATTTTGTATTGTTAGTAGAGATGGGGTTTCTGCATGTGGGTCAGGCTGGTCTCGAAGTCCCAACCTCAGATGATCTGCCCGCCTCAGCCTCCCAAAGTGCTGGGATTACAGGCGTGAGCTACCACGCCCAGCCCCTATAAAGTTTTATAATACCCTCTGTGGAGACTTTCCATCCTTTGTTTTCATTTTGTTTGTTTTGTTTTGTTTTTCTGAGACAGAGTCTCACTCACTGTGTCGCCCAGGCTGGAGTATAGTGGCACCATCTAGGCTCACTGCAACCTCAGCCTCCTGGGTTCAAAGGATTCTCTTTCCTCATCCTCCCTAAATAGCTGGGATTACAGATGTCACCACCACTCACAGCTTATTTTTGTATTTGTAGGAGAGACAGGATTTTGCCATGTTGGCCAGGCTAGTCTCAAAGTCCTGACCTCAAATGATTCACCTGCCTTGGCCTCCCCAAGTGCTGGGATTACAAGCATGAGCCACCATGCCAAGCCCCATTCTTTGTTATACTTACTGTCACAACTTCATATTTTTAATGCTGTTGTTAATGGCATTTTTAAAAATTTCATTTCCGCGGGTCATGGTGGCTCACGCCTGTAATCCCAGCACTTTGGGAGGCTGAGGCAGGCGGATCACCTGAGGTCAGGAGTTTAAGACCGGCCTGGCCAACATGGTGAAACCCCGTCTCTACTAAAAATATAAAAATTAGCCAGGCGTGGTGGTACATGCTTGATCCCAGCTACTCTAGAGGCTGAGGCAGGAGAATGGCATGAACTTGGGAGGCGGAGCTTGCAGTGAGCCGAGATGGAGCCACTGTACTCCAGCCTAGGCAACAGAGCAAGACTCTGTCTCAAAAAAAAAAATTTCATTTCCAACATAAGTATGTTTACTATAAGGATTTTTATGGAAGTTTTCTTCTATTTCTAGTATGCCAAGAGTCCTCATGAATGGATTTTGAATTTCATCATGTTTTCTTCCTTATTCTGTTTTTGTGTTACATTTTATTGATATTAAACCAACCTTGATTTTTGCAGCTAAGTGCTACTTGATCCTGATATATTATTCTTTTTACACATTGCTGAATTTCATTTTTATTTAGGATGTTTGTGTCAATATTGTGGTTCAGATTTATCTGTAATTTTGTCCTACTGGGTTTAGTTGTCAAAATGTTACTAGCTTCA